TTAAAAGTTTCATTAAAATCCAATTCTTGGTTCTTTATATATCAGTGGAACATTATTCAAATCAGGTAATTAATATCCAATTAAAACTAATCAGGTCTCTGCATAGTCCTAGAAGATCTACATATGTATGTAGCAAGTCTCAATAAAATATGATGATTAGTACTTGAGATATCAGGCAAAAAGCTGAAAATTAACTAAGTATGCTAATAAGGTAATTAATATGCACAAACATTTACCCCAAAACTAATCAGGGGTCTGCACAGTCCTTAAGTAACTACTGTAGAATACTTTATTTTCGCTACTTTCGCTGAAGGGATGATTCCGTGAAAGTAAAATCCAGCCAATATACTTTCAGGGTTCTGCCCAGGTTGACAAGAGTGCGGGTTGCTCATTAATATTCATGAGCTAATTAACATACTTGATGTTTGTTTTGAGGTGTCAAGTCAGTAAACCCCACCAAAACCATGGTATGACACACAAATACGCCATGAACAAAAATAGACAACAATTGTAATGCTACTATTAACTACTTCTTATTTATTTCAGAGAAATACTTTTTTGTTACAAATATATATTAGTAGTCAGATGCTGTTATTGATTATGTATATATACTGTTGTTAGATGTAAAATAACAAACCCAAAATAAATACTGAAATGTGTTGTGTTGTCCATTTAATTATATTTTATTATTATTATTACTGTGTTTTTCTCTTACACAACAGGGTGGAATGAATAAATAAAATTAAACAAAATACACAAACTATTTACCTACTGTTATGTAAAATAATTAAGTTAGATAAATAAATAAATACAGAAATAAATGTGTCCATAATATTATTTCATTTATAGTAAAGTTCATTTATTTATTTCTTCAGGGAAATTCGTCGATTTTTTTTCTCTACCCATTTTTGAACGGCGGCTTGGTAGTCATAACTGTCGACAGTTGGGCCGTCAATTGCGATCCGAACAAGATTATCCAAGCTGGTTTGGTTTAGTCGATTTCGTTGGATGGTTTTGACGAGCTTTAATTGCGAGAATGTTCTCTCGGAATCTGCAGTATGGCAAGGAAGAACTCGGTATATCTTCGCAAGTTGTGTTAAAGATGGAAAGACTTGCTGTACCATGGGCGATGTGCACAGATGGTCAACAATTGCGTCGGGCTTCAAATTCATCTGCTTCAAGATGGACTCCTTAGCGTACGTAGTGAAGTGTGTCCACTGATTCA